CGGCCCAATTTTTTTTTTCCTTTTTCTTTTCCCCTCGGCCTAGAGAGGCCAAGGTCACACCGCCGGGAGGAACCCCTCCCGGCGAGCCGGTGTACAGTCCAGCGGAAAGGTTTCCTTCCGCTGAACGAGGTACACATACCTTGTCCATTGGAAAGAAAGCATTCCGCTTGGACGAGGTACATGTACCTCGTCCATCGGAAGGAAACCCTTCCGCTTGGACAAGGTACATGTACCTTGTCGAGTCGTCCATCAGAAGGAAACTCTTCCGCTGGACGAGGTACATGTACCTTGTTTATTGGAAGGAAACCCTTCCGCTTGGACGAGGTACATGTACCTCGTCCATCAGAAGGAAACTCTTCCGCTGGACGAGGTACATGTAACTCGTCCATCGGAAGGAAACCCTTCCGCTTGGACGAGGTAAATGTACCTCATCCAGCGGAAGGAAACCCTTCTGCTGGATGAGGTACACGTCTGAAGGAGGGGAGTCCGTGTTTGGCGGGCTTGCAGGATTGGCAGTACGTATCTTTGTTGTATGCTGAACGGAGTCGATCAACCTCGTCCAGCGGAAGGGTTTCCTTCCGATGGACGAGGGAAAGGAGTCGATCAACTTCGTCCAGCAGAAGGAAACCCTTCCGCTGGACTGTACACCGGCTCGCCGGGAGGGGTTCCTCCCGGCAGTGTGACCTCGGCCTCTCTAGGCCGAGGGGGAAAAAAAAGGAAGAAAAAAAAATTGGGCCATCCCATAGGACCCATGCCTGGTTCCTATGGGACAGCCCAGGTCCTAAACGCATATAAATATGCGTTGAGGACCTCAAGTCGGGCGTGCAGGCAGGCACACCAACCTGCAGGGTATACCCCCTGCAGGCAAGTGGCTTTCCTGTCTGCACGCCATTCTGCAATGGCGTGCAGGCGCGCACACCAATCTGCGCCTGGCGTGCAGTTTGGTGTGCGCAATTGGGGTTGGCTTGCACTTATCAACCCCCAGATGGCATGGGATATTAGTTTTTTTAGTGATGATTGAAGAAATATTTGACCTTATCTGAATAACCATGTAAAGGTTTTGTCATGAATCTTCACTGGCTTCCTTAGTTTTAGGGTCAAGACAGGCATGAGCCTGGAGAGAACTTCTAGAACCTGAGTATGTTTAGATTTCTTGAAGTAGCTCTATAGAATAAAAGATGGGAGTTCTCTCAGTACAATATAATCAGATAATAATGATAAAGAAAGAATAAAAGAGAATGAAAGAAATCAAAGAGAATGAAATGAGAACAAGAATGGAAACAGCTCACCTAGTTCAATAGAATGAAAGATGGGAGTTCTTTACCAAGCTAGGAAGGGGCAGGATGATTGGAGTTTAAGTAGATGGATGATAGTTGGTGATTGTCCTTGTGGAACCTGTATGAGGCAAGGTTTCACAAACCATTTTGTTGAATAATTATGTTTGGTTAACATTTTATTCAATCAAGAATCTAATATTACACATAAAATTATGACACTGCCAAACAGGGCCTCATTAATTCAAGAATCAGTCAGCCTAGAACTTGTTTTCTAAAGGATTCTTGTAATCAATTGACACTTTCAAAGGGGCTGTGTCAGTGGCAGCCCCCTGTGGTAAGGATGTAAGATAGGTCTACCCAACCAATTTTATGTCATTCATGCCCATCAATAAATTACCCCTTTGTTTCAATATATTGATGAGCTCAGCAAATAGAGGAATTGACGTTGGTTGTGTAGTCCCTAAAAAACCAGATTTGTAGGCCCCCAAATCAGTTTTCCCTGCAAAATTGGACAGCTTGAAAACCATACAGTGGACACTTGTCTGGAAATGTCCAAATTTTTTTGGGTAGAGTAGTGTCCAATCAAAACTCCCTGCCCTGCAGATGCTGTCCAGAATGGTCTCCATGGGACATCAGCCATTGGTGGTGGTGTATAATAAGGTAGTTGTTCATAGTATGTTTGTGGATAGAAAAAATGTCCATCACCACCAAAGCCAATGACAGAAGGGCTGCATTGTGGGTGAAAAGATGCAATAGCAGCAGATATCACAGCATGATTCTGCATATTGGGCACTAACTTAGGCTACCATTGCATAAAAGCACCTGGGCCACCATATCACTAACACTGCACCATTCTACAGTGATAGGGTTAAAAAATGCTGCCTGTGAGGGAAGAATTGCTTACAATTTCACCATAAGAGTAGTTGGCTGCTCCACTGTGCTAAAGTGGTGCTTTTTCAGCAAAAAATAGGTGCTGTGCTGTTGTATTAATTAGTCATCTGCTACATAGGTAAGAAGAGATAAAATGAACTACATGTGTATCTGTTTCTACATGAATAGTTTCATCAGAATGATGAACAGTTGATGAAATTTTGTGATGATGTCTCATGTTTGTAGGGGGAGGGGGCACTTTCCAGCAAAGAACCTGTCAAGGATGAAGGGAGGTCTTACAAAGGGTCAACCTGCTTGAAACTATCAGTAACTTTGGAAACTTTCCGAGATTCTTAAGGATTCTTGGATCCAAATCGACTAGCCAAAATCACCCAAAAAAATTGTGCAGCAGAAATTTCTGCATTTCCTTCCTTCCTTCTCACCTCCACAGATTACTTGCACCATTTTCCTTCAACATCATTCTATGCGGGTTTTGGAGATAGAAAGAAGTGACATCCTTGAATAATCACTCAAGATTAATAGAAGGCAAATTGATTGTATCACCATGGAGTACCCCGTTATAATTGCGATTTGCAACCTGAATGTGATAACCAAATGAACCTTAAATAGGTTTCCCAGCCTCAAGCCTTTGCGAACACTACCCATATCTTTTCCTTTATTCACCAGCCGGAATCTCTAGACCACAAACCAGTAAAAAAAGAAACCAAGCTCCTCATGCCAACTACGTAGACGCATCATAGATTCAAATAATCAACCTAAGTGGTTCGTGTTACGAAAATTAGTTTTTTTTTCCACAAGTGTTTGTAGCGACTCGCCAAAAGAGGTGAACTGGGCCTTCATGCATTCGGTACGAGCACTGGGGTTTCCTCCTCTCCGGTATACATACCGGAGATATCATTATCACCCAGATGTATGAATATGGAATCTTCAAGCTATGGTAGTGAGAAAACCTTGAATTTGGCTGTAGGTTGGGCAAGGAGAACCTTTGAAATGGCTGGTTTGAGAAAAGACAGAAACGATAAATCATCTAGGAGATTCATTACCCAGGCTCCGAATGGATCCGTGAGGAGAGAGATCTCATCGGAAGTGTACATAACACTAGAGGGACCAGGAGGAGGGGGGCGAATTAACCAAAGAGAAAAAAAAATGAGCATTGCCATTCTGACAGGATAATTCACCGAATCTGAAGATTGAACATTTTTCTTCCTCGCGGTTTCTCTTTTCTGTGGGTATTGTTGGAGAGAACGGATTTTCAAGACACAAGCCAATATCGTCGGTATAAATCACCGTTGCGACAGAGATGATCTACATGAGGAGGCCCCCAGTGAAGACCGGATCTGGCCGGATAGGTAAATTGGGGTTCTTTATACAGCCAATCCAGAAAAGGATGGCATCCCCTCCTCAAATGCACCAGCTCGCTTGTGTGCAGATACTACCGGTTCATGAGCCAGTAAGGTTTTGGTTTGGGCTAGAAGCTCTTATTCTCCTTCAATCCAGCAGGGCACTTAACCTTACCCAGATCACGAATAGGATGGATCTGCACAAGCGAGCTGGTGCAGTTGAGGAGAAGATGCCATCCTTTTCTGGATTGGCTGTAAGAGCCACGAGCTCACTGAAAAAATGATAAGCATGATTTTATTTTACTCTTTGGCATCAGAGTTGATAACCTCTGATGAAGCAAGTATGCATCCACGAGTAGATATTTGCCTGTGATTATAATTCTGGATTTATTATTACAGGTGCATGTGTGATTGTATTTTACAGGTGCATAAAACCAAATCTCGGAGTTTTTATCTTTTGAGCCAATCGATTGGGAGACATAAAACTATAATCATCCTCTGAGGTTCGGATGACGGCACACAGAGAGACATGCATACACCACGGAAAAAATACATAGGAGCGTGAACCATTCCCAGTTTTTTCTCGTCGGTACGAGGGCCTTCTAGGATACATATTAATCTAAGGTGGATTGGGAAGAGCAATTTCCAGCGACCAGAAAACCGTCACCTGTCCTTGGCACGTGGTGATTGAACCTCTCAGGTAGTCTCAGGTACTGAAAAAGTGGATAAGGAATGCCAATTCCGTTGCATGCTGCATCACGGTGGGTCGATTCAAGAACCATCGGTCCGGGTAAGTCAGGCTGGGTTGGGCAAACCCAGCTTCCAACGTAATCTAATTTCGGAAGCTCCTGAAGAGAAGTTCCACCAAAGTATCTACCCCCGTTTGTGAGTGGTATGCAGTATCACCTTCTCTCTGGTGTCAGCAGCATTATCTTCTCAATCGCGTTTTTTTCTCGACGATTTGGGTACACAGACCTTGAGCCTGACAGGACAAGCTTCCGGTCTAAGCAGGCTAGTGTCACGAGACAGTCCTTCCCAATCATCTCCAATCCAGAGGGAAAGCGGAACACATAGCTAAGAGGCACCAGCTTCTTTGAGAGCTACCATTTCCATCCAATCCAATCATTTCTTGCTTCTGGAATGGTAAGTTCCATGTCTTCTCAATTATGTACCATTCTTGCCCCTGTACGCATTATGAATGCAGCATGAGGAAATGTGAGTTACAGGCGCGAGTGGAGCTTCAACTTCAGTTCTCATTCCTGAGGACATTATAGGCGCAAGTTCAGGTGAGCTCAGCGATGCGATCCCCTCCGGGATTGTGTCTGATTGTGTCAAGCTGATTGTAAGATCGAGCAAATGTCATCGAATGTGAAGTGGACAAAGTGACAGCCAATGCCATGCCAGAGTCTCGGAACAGCTCGGAAAGTCGAGTAAACATGTCTGGTCGCAGTCTCAGCCTCTCTCGCAGACTGCAGTTATTGTTAACTTGTATATGGCCAATTACTGTCAAGATACAGATCCTGGCACTGATGCAGCTGATGCCCTCCTCGCACAAATCAGCAACCGTAAGTCATGACTCCATTTTCTGCTTAGAACCAAACCAGGCTGGGCCTTGTGGCCCTGACCTGTGAAGACGCAACCAGGACTAATTCATAGATTTCTACCCTGAATACCGATGATACAGACATCGAAGAACAGGAGGTAGCAAGCGCTCAGCCTATTCAGGCACTGGATACCGTGCAGCCCTCCTTGATGGAGGAGTAGGCATGACGAACCGCAGCTAGGAAATACCCGTGAGTTAACGGATGAAAATCTTAGATAAGAGAGCTAGAAGAAGAACTTATTGTTTGTCCTCGCTTCTCTTTTTCCCCCTCATCTGCGAACCTTCTCGACGAATCTCCCACTCAGATCAAATACCGCATTTCACCCCATACCCAATAAAGCCTCCTTCCATTCCCATCAACAAATAGTTTCGCGACGACCTCGTACCGCGACTCTATATCCTCACCTCCTCTTTCTCATTACGCCACGAGCGATTTCCTGTTAAAACTTCTTTAAACCTTTCTTATCCGCTTCACACGCGAGATCTTTTCTCTTTCTTGTTACTTCACTTGACTTTACCGATCTCTTGTGTCATCTTCCTCTTTTACTTTCTTACTTTGCCTTCTGTCTATCTACCCCTGCCCTTCAGGTAAGGCAGTACACTCTTGTTCTTTTTCTCATGTTGTCCCACCATGATTCTGATGTGAAATATGTCCCTTCAGTTTTGCAATTCTAACAGATTTACAGTCTCGACGCAGGACCATACCTCAATTTTCCTAGGACAAAACTCTACAAGGGCACGGACGAGAAATGGCAGCAGCAACACCTTCGTTCAAAGAGGAACTCGCTCTCCTACTGATGTTGAAGGGGGAAAGCAACTTCCCCATGTGGACCAAACGGCTGAGGTCTTTTCTCAAAAGCAAGGACTTATGGAGTGTCGTCATCGCCGACCCTGGACCAAATCCCACTGCTCGAGTCAAGAAGCAAATGGCGGAAGCAGGCTATGCCATCACCATGAGGATTGCCGACTTCATCCACAACGGCCTTGTCACGGAAGACAACGAAGACAATGGTTACTTGATCTGGAAGGACGTCAAGGACACCTATGCTCGATACACCACCCATCGGTACACGAAGTGCATGACCAACTGGCATGCAATCAAGTACGAAGGAAAAATGCTTCCTTTCATACGTGACATTCAAGACTCCCTCGATGCTTTTGCGTCCATAGCTCACCCCATGCCCAGCAAGGACGTCTGCAGTGTGATTGTGTCGAAACTCTCACATACTAGACGAGCTCTGACCGATTCCTTTGTCTTCAACGCAGACATCATGCAGAACCATCAACTCCTCATCGCAAGACTCAAAGACGTTGCGGAAGAAGAAGAAGAGGAACCGAAGAGAAAGGAAAGATCGGCTGTGGCACTCAACAGCACCCGAACTCGCCCTCCATCGGGTTGTCGCAATGGTAAGCATCATCCAGATGCCACACACCCAGAAGCTACATGCTGGTCTCTGCACCCAGAGATGCGGCCTATAAGGAAACCTCGCCGTAATCCCTCCCAGCACCACACGACAGCTCCCTCAACCTCTGCGAACTCTAGTGCGACCCCTCCTGTCGCCTCCCAGTTCGAAAAACCAGCTTTTAGTCACATCACCACTGTCACTATGTTGTCCGTCACTCCACAAACCCTCCCTGTGGTCCTCGACTCGGGTGCATCCCATCACATGTTCAACAACATGGAATTCTTCACCGACACTCACGTCTGCAATACGCCTATCAGCACCGGCAAGAACTCTGCAGATCTGGTCGCAACCCTTGAGGGCACTGCCACCATCATGGATTCTGCAGGCAAAGTCATTCAGCTACCCGGATCCCTCTACGTTCCCGGTCTTTCTCGCAACCTGCTCTCTCTGGGGACCCTATCAAAGGATTCAGTCTCTATCACCCGACAAGACGACACCTCTGTAGTAACTATTGATCAATCCATTCGTTTCAACTGTCACATGGTCAATGGAATCTTAGAGATCAAAGAGTGCATTGGCCCCATTCCTTCGGCGCCAACCGTCTTTTCGACCACCACTCACTCCAGCAAAACCTCTGCCTACGAAACTTGGCACTCAAGACTTGGCCATTCCAGCATAGCTCGTTTGAAAATCGCCGTTTCTGATACTCAACTCACAGCGAGTCCCAACTGTGACGTCTGCATGAAAGGAAAGATAACTCGGCATCCATTCAACAGCCACTTCGACAAGACTACAGCAGCTCTTGAGGTTGTTCATGGAGACCTCGTTGGCCCAATCAATCCCTCCACAAACTCTGGTTCCAAATACTTCCTCACCCTTGTTGACCAACACACAGGCTACATCAGTACGACTCTCCTCAAGGTCAAATCCGACGCAACAGCGGCTATCCTGGACTTCAAGAACTTCTTTGAGAATCAGACTGGTAACTCAATCAAGAAACTAGTGACTGATGGAGGTGGAGAATTCTGCAACGGCCTTCTGACAGATCACCTCAAGGAGGCAGGCATTTCACACAACGTCTCTCCTCCATATACCCCTCAACACAACGGTTTTGCGGAAAGGGCCAACAAAACGATCATCAACATGGCGCGCTGCATGATGGTTCAGTCTAAACTGGCTAAAGAGTGGTGGGGCGAGGCGGTATTGACGGCAATGGCCACCACCAATTGTCTACCATCCATCGGGAAAAGCAGAGTATCGCCAATCGAACTCCTCTTTGGGAAAACTCCTAATATGGCCTTTTTTCGGCCCTTTGGGTGCAAAGCTTGGGTAGTCAAACCGAACCAGCTCCGGAGCTCGAAGTTTGATCCCATATCCTGGGAAGGAATTATGATAGGCTACAGCAACAACTACTCAGCATACAGGATTGTTCGCAAAGAAGACAAAAAGATCTTTGAAACAAAACATGCCTACTTCGACGAATCATCGTTTCCCGGGCTTTCAGCTATCAACCCCAGCTCGGATCCCTTTCCTCTGGATCCTCTTCCCGATTTCTCCGGTCGTACACCATTTCCCTTCAGTCAAGACGACTCGGTAACCAAACAAACCAACCCTGGTTCTGGCTCCGATCTAGATCGACCCGACCCTGATCATCTCATGATGGACGAATGTCCCTCTGAAAACGACTCACCAGATGAACCTTCTGACTCAGACACCGACATGGAAGATGCGGCACCCTCTCGACCCCATCAAAGACTGATCCTACGCCTGGGTCCACATCCAACCAAAATCACCAGTGATGTTAACACTGACAACATCATGGTGAGGCCCCGGAGGCCAGCGGTCTCATACTCCGTCACCACAGTGGAACCTCGCAATCACTTTCAAGCCCTACGCAGTGATGAAAAAGACCAGTGGATGGCGGCTGAGGAGAGGGAAATCAAAAACATGCATGACCACGGTGTCTGGATTGAAATCCCTCGACTCCCAACTCACTCGTGTATTCCATCAACTTGGGCTTACAAGAAGAAACTTGGGGTTGACAACCAAGTCATAGAATTCAAGGCTCGGATCTGCGCCCAGGGATTTCGACAGACATATGGGCTCAACTTCGACATGAAGTACGCTCCTACCGGGAAACCCTCTTCTCTTCGCATGCTCCTGTCCCATGCGGTCACTCAAGGATACAAGATCCATCAGCTCGACGTGAAGAGCGCCTTCCTCACATGCGAACTGGAGGAAACCGTCTACATGCTCCCTCCTCCTGGCTACAAGACGGGGGAAGACATCGTGCTTCAGCTGAAAAAGGCGATCTACGGCCTGAAACAGGCCTCACTGGCATGGTACAAACGTCTGAGTCGTTTTCTCTCCTCCATTGGCTTCAAAACTTCCCTCGCGGACCCCTGCGTCTTCTGGCGCACCACGCCGACACCTCTCTGGATCTTCGCCCACGTGGATGATCTCATCATCGTTGGGCAAAATCCTGAACACTTTCGGGATGAAATCTCGAAAGAATTTTCGATCAAATACATGGGTGAGGCCTCCTTCCTCTTGGGAATGAAGCTCGACCGGAACGCCCACGGGCTAGTCCTCAATCAAACTCAATACATCGAGCGCAAACTGGTGGAATTTGAAGTCACTCATCTTCACAGTGCCTCCTGCCCTCTGGACCCTCGATCGCATCTCTCCAAAGCATCTGTTTCTGACATTCAACAACTCCAACCCCTGAACATCAACTATAGAGCGATAATCGGCTCTCTGAACTATCTCAGCATCCTTACCAGGCCAGACATCTCCTTTGCAGTCAGTAAGCTGTCCCAGTTTCTCGAAAACCCCGGTCTCTCTCACTACAGAGCCGCAATGCAAGTCTTCCGCTATCTGAAAGGCACTATTGGTCGTGGTTTGCTGTTTGGGCAATCAAAGCCATCTCCTCTTTTTGCGACGGTTGACGCCGACTGGGCCAACTGCCCAGACACTAGGCGTTCTCACACTGGCTACATGATTTCCTGGAACGGTCATTTGATCTCTTGGAAATCAACCAAGCAATGCACCGTCTCTCTGTCTTCCACAGAAGCTGAGTACAAGGCTCTAGCCGACGTAGGAAAGGAGGTTATTTGGCTTAATAACCTAATGAGGGAAGTCTCTCTTCTCTCGGAGGCTTCCACGATCACCATTCTTGTGGACAACCAGGGGGCAATTGACCTTGCTCTGAGTCAGACCAGTCAGAATGGCTTCAGGACGAAGCACATGGATCTCCGGCTCCACTTTGTTCGAGACCTCATTCAAGACAAGATCGTTCGTCTCCAATTTGTTCCTTTGTGTCAAAACACATCCGACTACCTCACAAAGCCTGTCGGTCGCATCAACATCAAACGAGCTCTTCAAAAACTCACCGCCGATGTCAACAGCATCTCTGCTTCGTGCTATAAAGCACAAAGCATGTCAGCCTGTCAAGATACAGATCCTGGCACTGATGCAGCTGATGCCCTCCTCGCACAAATCAGCAACCGTAAGTCATGACTCCATTTTCTGCTTAGAACCAAACCAGGCTGGGCCTTGTGGCCCTGACCTGTGAAGACGCAACCAGGACTAATTCATAGATTTCTACCCTGAATACCGATGATACAGACATCGAAGAACAGGAGGTAGCAAGCGCTCAGCCTATTCAGGCACTGGATACCGTGCAGCCCTCCTTGATGGAGGAGTAGGCATGACGAACCGCAGCTAGGAAATACCCGTGAGTTAACGGATGAAAATCTTAGATAAGAGAGCTAGAAGAAGAACTTATTGTTCGTCCTCGCTTCTCTTTTTCCCCCTCATCTGCGAACCTTCTCGACGAATCTCCCACTCAGATCAAATACCGCATTTCACCCCATACCCAATAAAGCCTCCTTCCATTCCCATCAACAAATAGTTTCGCGACGACCTCGTACCGCGACTCTATATCCTCACCTCCTCTTTCTCATTACGCCACGAGCGATTTCCTGTTAAAACTTCTTTAAACCTTTCTTATCCGCTTCACACGCGAGATCTTTTCTCTTTCTTGTTACTTCACTTGACTTTACCGATCTCTTGTGTCATCTTCCTCTTTTACTTTCTTACTTTGCCTTCTGTCTATCTACCCCTGCCCTTCAGGTAAGGCAGTACACTCTTGTTCTTTTTCTCATGTTGTCCCACCATGATTCTGATGTGAAATATGTCCCTTCAGTTTTGCAATTCTAACAATTACCAAGTCACAACCATCAGTCAGCATCAGTCGGTCGTTCCGCTAGCCGAAGTCACATACCGGCTGCCTGCGGGTGAGTGGAGTTCTACAAACTTTCTGCATCGCCCATAGCACTGGAATATCAGTTGGCTTACGACCTCTCGCAAGGCACTCAACCCGGATCAGACAGATGCGGTGAAGTGATTACATGAATATTTGCATCAGCACGTCTTGATCTGGGTTCACAACTTTCTCCCAAGATACACATTTTTTGGCAGAGTTCCAGCAAGTCATACGTACCGTCCCAGACTCCAACCCCATCCACGACCAGCTTGAGGACAAGTGAGTGATAAATTCCTCTGCCCCGTTGTTGCTGTTATTCGGCCCGAGCACCGGAGCTCTCGATTGGTGGATCTCGATTCTTAATACTTATCAACCGAGTTCGGAACGACTGGCTACTTGAGCTTCCACGTTGGTCGTCTAACCAACTAGCCCATTGACTCTTTGTTGCCAGATCATCCGACGAGAAAAAACTAGTCAAGCCTTTTCTGTCCAGACTAGAAGTGTCCCCTCGGCATTCAGTGGTCTCCTCGTCGAGCTCAGTCGAGCAGGACCACTTCGAGGTCCAAATTATGAAGCCCATTATTATCATAGTTGCTTAATCTTCCCTTTCATTTTACATTCTTCGGTTCCGCTTGCATCATCTTGTTCTTACAAGCCCTTGGCTTCGGGGTCTCTGCTTATCGGCCTTCCGGTTGCCAGGAGAACTCACCCTACTCTGGAAACATTTTCTCTCTCGAGCCTTTCAGGTTACCAAACCCCTTCACAGACCACCGCCATTACTCCGCTTCAGCTCTCCAGTAAGAATTTCACTTCCAACGAGCAGCATAGACGTTGGTAAGGATTGTTTACTTCAAGGTCTCCTGCTGCCACCCACCCTCAACGTGCACGAACGATTTCTTAGACCGCTTCTCAACACCAGCCCTCCTTGACTTGACTGGATCACGCCAACTGCCCTTTGCCATTCACTTCAGCCTTTATCCCTGCAACACATCTCCAGTTGTTCTCTCTGTCGCCATCTTTGATAAACTCTTGAGCTCCGAGGCCAGTCGGAACACAGTCAGTCCCCGGCATACCGCGCAGTCACCGCTCGAATAGTCAAGCATACTACCTCTGGCAATCACATCTTCCTTTTTTGTCAATTCAGACGATTATCCCTATTTATTTATCAAATCACTAGTAACAAAAAGGGAACAAAAACCGCCATACCCCGTAATACATAAGTTGTTTGTGAACCTGCTATCAGTTCCAGTAACCTCAGTTTCTCCTGGCCATTCCTACCTCCTCGGTACTCATTGATAATACTCCACCTGCAAAACCGTGCAACCATGGCCGACCAGAAGATTTCTAAGTCTTGGCTCCCCAGATGTCGATGCTCGAATTCCATCAAAAAATTCACCGGCAGTGTTACCTACATCACTTTCACCATTTCCTTTGGATTGCTGGTTGACATGGCTGCATACGGCCTCATGGTACCTGTTCTTCCCTTTCGTCTTGAATCTATCGGTTATCACAATATTCCCGCCAAGTCATCTTATCGTAAGTACAGTCTTCTCCTGTGTATTACATCTTCTTCCCGCTTTTGCCCTACTGACCTCACCTATCAAAATAATGCTTGAATTAATAGTTATTGCCGCTTTTGCACTTGGACTAATTGTCTCATCAGTAAGCTATGTTCCACTCGCCTTGAACTTGGGAGCTGCCCCTTCGATCACTACCAAGCAAAACCAGATGCTATCAGTTATAGGACAGTTAATAAACGCATCACCCACCCGCAGGTTCCCATTGGTATCTTTGGCGAGGTCGTCAAGGCACGGAAGGCACCCCTGCTATTCTGCCTAGTGTTCCTAGGTAAATCGTTTATCTGCAACCAACTTGGCATCAATCTTCAGCTGACCAATTCCTTTTTGCAGCCGCCAGTCTAATTCTCTTCTGGCTTTCCTCATCATTTGTGGTGCTCATAATTGCAAGACTACTTCAAGGTGTCAGGTGAGTCACTGCCAATCGAACATCATGTCATTCATGATATCGTTTGAAGCGCTAACATTTTGAGATACGACTGTCTAAAGTGGTACAGGTATATGGACCCTAGGACTGGCTCTGATATGTGATGTGGTACCGGAAGAGCGCATTGGCGTTGTAATGGGATACGTGATGTAGGAAGCTTCATAATCCTTTCGGAGCCCGCCAGCATTTTGACAATTTCAATTTCCTGTTGTAGGATTGGCTGGTCTATAGGAGCTGTAGGAGGTCCTCTAGCTGGGGGATTGTTGTACGATTCATTGGGCTATCACTCTGTTTTTATCTTTGCTCTGATTCTAAGTACGTCTTGCCTTCAATCTCATGAGGAATCCTGGAAGGTTGATCTGTTCCTCGCGCGATGATCTAATGCGTGTCTGAATTTTTATTGATAGCTGGAATAGACTTCATCCTAAGATTAATGGTCCAGGACAACCAGTCGTCGCCAACTGGTGAAGTTATTAATATCAGTGAGGAGTCCGGTCCAAAAACAGGACGGACATCTCTTTCAGACGAAACAGCACGCGTCATCGAACCTCCGACGGAGATTGCCGCACTGGTCGATATTACAGCTCAAAAAACTGAAGGAATTGCTTCTCAACGAAAAGGCAAAGAAATTAATCATGCATTCCTCTCACAAGCTACATACCCTTCTTCATCTCGGCCACCCACAGCTTCTCGCGCTCTTCTCTCGTTATTTTCGAGTGCCAGATGCTGGACATTGTTTTCAATCATATTTGTTCTAGGTATGAACCGTGCGAATCCAATACTTCCAAATTTACCTCAACCGTATTGATTTTTTCACACTGTCTTTATTTTCTGTCAGGATTTTGTTTTGGAGGATTGTTGGACTCAGGAATGACGCTGCTCGTACATGCAAGATACGGATTGAATTCGAGGGGTGCTGCTCTGGTATTCATCGGGGCAGTTGTACCATCATTTGCCTCAAGTCCCCTTGCGGGTCATTTTGCCGACAAGTACGGAGCACGGTGGCCAGTGGTAATTTGCCTCATCCTTGGTACTCCGTTCTTTGGTTTGATCAGTATGGAAGGCAGCCTTTCCACCTTTGTCATCTGGACCGCTTTGACAGGTGCGCTCTCTCCACATCTTCACACTTATTTGTTCTCAATTTATTGAACTCAACCTGTTGTTCATCCTCTCACTTTTCAATCTCGTTCTCAGGTCTATTTGTAATGGGAATTGCTGCACCCATGATGCAAGGTCAGCGACTCTCCTAACCGTTGACATAACTTTTCTTACTGACTTGCTGATGCTTGATTTTCATTCTCAAATTACAGATCTTGCTGAAGTCGTTAAAGTCACACCTGGACTAGGTTAGTCTTTTGGCCTTTCAAACAGCATAAACTTGTCACTGACTGCATTCCGCAAAATCATAGGCTACGCCCACGTGTACGGGATATTTAACATGGTATACTCGACAGGCTCATTGGTTGGACCATTATGTGTTGGAGGGTAGATCTCGTTCCCATGCACATTTCCACATCTTCCCCACAATGTTCTATCTTGAGAGCGCCAGAATAGCTTGTTCAAAATCCTCCGTTTTTCTTTCTTTTTAGGATTCTGGAAAGCTGCGGTGTCGAGAGAGGTTGGAAGATCGTCAGTCTGATTTGCGCAGGTCTATGCGCGGCTTCGATTTTACCCGCTTGGCTGTACATCGGTAATAAAGGTACAATAAGCACCAACGTAGTAACACCTGGTCTTCTGCCAACAAATGAAAAGACGCCATCGGATACGAATCAAAATTCCCCGGTCTAGGGAGCAAAAGAAATGATGGTCAAGATACACCCCGATATAGCTTGACATCGGCGTGATGCTCTGGGAACCATTTTTGACCATGTCTACCAGGGAGCTCATCCCTTATAAGCCTTTGCGCAAAAGCGCAGGAGCAGCGTTGAGTCCGTGGCACTAGCTGAATACTATGAAAGCCTTTTTCTGCATTTATGTTCGCAACCTTTGCAATCACCTTTGCCACGAGAACTAGAACTCGAACAACATGTTGTATGTTGAATACCTCACGGTCACAGTACCATTGTGGGCCCTTTTTTCTGTGCCATCATGTCGTATAATTTATCCTTTTGTTTTAAAATTAATTATTTCTGGTCCTTAAATAAGGAAATGTACTTCAACACATCTTGCCTACGCCATTTTTTGTCACAATTGAATACGCCTTATCTTCATAATCTTTTCTTCCAGGAAGCCGTAACGTTATGTAAGCCACATGTAACACCACCAAGAAATCCTCATTTTCAAGATCGTGCAAGAATATTTCTGCAGCAATTCATTGAACCTTTTAATAACCAAAACGGTAGTTCAACTCATCCCTTCTGGAACCGGGGTGAAGTTTCGCGGCCCGAAGTCGTGCTGAGATGTCCGAGCGGTCTAAGGAGCTGGATTCAAGTGTTATACTTGCATGTTATACGTGTGCATCCCAGTAGAGAAATCTGCGGGGGTTCGAATCCCCCTCTCAGCATCCCTTTTTGCCCTCCTCTACACGCGGTCAGCATAGTAGTCGTCGAGACAAGTTGCTCGGCCTGTTTATAGCAGCGCGGTCTAGCGGAGATGGCCTCAGGACCGATTGTGGCCTGAAAAGTTTTTGGATGTTTTGAAATATTGACTTCAAAAATCACGACAGCCTGCTTCCGTCCCTTGCCAGGCCGCCGCACACAAGCAAACAAGCAATGGCAAATACCCAGAGACACTGCTTCTGCAGGACTGTTGCAATTTGGTGTTGCGCAAGCAGCATTTTTGGGTGTCCGCCCCCTTAGCAGATACGTAACACGTACTCACACCTCGTTCGCCCGATGACGCATAAGTCACAACTTCCTCTCTTTTCATTCAGCTGGGGCAATCGATTACCCGCTGGACAAGGACACCCATCGGTCGTCAATGTCGGGTTAATACTAACATTTGACAAAACTATATCTGAACAATTTCGGATCAACAGGGCCAAAATAGCATCATGGGACTGTTTCCCAACCGGCCTGGCTGACCAGCAGGCTCAAAAAGGGTCTGGCCGGGAATTGAACCCGGGACCTCACCCAATCAAGACACATGCCCTAAGGGTGAATCATACTACTAGACCACCAAACCACACTGCACACTGGTCCCCGCTACATTGCTCGCCTCCGAAGTGACTGCGGCCACCAGTACCTGGTGAGAAATCAGGCGACTGCGGCCACCAGTACCTGGTGAGAAATCAGGCGACTGCGGCCACCAGTACCTGGTGAGAAATCAGGCCACAGCAACACCCAATTGACCATGGTGTGAGAAGTGGGGTGTTGCTGCTTGTTCCAGCCCTGGGCCCCTGTTGAGAGGATTATGCATTGAAACTCAAACTTTCCCTGAATAAGTCAAGAATTATAGGCTCCCATGTCATCCTTTTTGACATTTCATTGTACTGTTTTTGTTTTTCTCTGCCATCTTATTAATTTTGGGTCTTAGTCAACTGACTCCCAAATATTCGGGACATTGTGAGGACCGCCTGTTGACGGGGGCCAGGACGTCCTGACCCCATTTTTTTCCCCCGGTTTCTTGGGAGTTGGACTTCCAAAAGGTCTGACTTGGTTAGAAGTCAGACCTCAAAAAAAAAAAATGAAAATATGAGAAAAAAATTGATTCCCCCCGGGGGTTCTTGGGAGTGGATCCTCTCAACACTCCAGGAAAGTTGGGAGTCAGCCGGAACTGGAAAGCCCTCAGTGGCCAAGAGGAATCCCTCTTGGTTGCTGAGAATGTATGCTCTCAACAGCCAAGAGGAAGAATTGATGTAGTGAAGCTGGGACAGCACAATGGCATTGGGCTTGTGAAGTATTTTGACACTGAGCATGAGATCAGCCTTCCCAAGATCTTTCATATCAAATTCAGATCAGATTTGTTCTGATCATTGAACGGTTCTACATGTTTGCCAAACACTGACTTGAATGAACAGCCAGATGGGATTATCATCCATCCAAAAAAACACACATGGGTCAGACACAGACACAGAGAATCAGCGGTGGGCCGCTACACTACGCTTTTGGCCCAAAAAGCGTAGCATAGCGGCGCTTTTTTTCATCCAAAAACCATAGTGTTAGCGGTTTTTTGCTATGCTACGCTGCACTACAGCGCGTTTAGCGGAAAAAGCGGCCAAGAACCGCTAAAACCCGCTGTAGCGCAGCGTAGTGGGCCCTTTTTTGCGGCCCACACGGGTAGCGTTAGTGGAAAAAGCGGCCAAAACCCGCTGTAAGACTCAAAAGTGGTTGTGAGAACCCTTTTGCTGAATGGAGAAGGGTATGGTGGAGTTGCAAACTCTGCCCTTCTATACTATCAGATAACAAGACCCACCAAGCTCAGCTTGGCAAGTTTTAATCAAGTGATAGGGGTGGTTGGTTCGAGAATAAGTTGTTTGATCGCAGTATAATTGTATGAGAGAAGAGGTTTTGAGAGTATGAGAGTGAGTTTAGTGTGTATTACAAGTGTAAGGGTTGTTATAGGGTGTTTGTAAGGGTTGTTACAGTATGTAATGTTAATGGTATGGTATGTAATGGTAGGGGGTATGTGATTTGTGGGTACTAAACTGAGGGGAAAAACAACTGGGAGGAGAGCCTCCTTAAATAGACAATAATGAGGGACTTTGGCTCCAAGGGAGCAAGAGAATGAGAGATTTTAGCTGGTCAGAGCTTTACAATGAGGTATTTTGGCTAGTTGTACAGCCTTCATGATGTAATTTGAGTTATTTTAGCTAGAAGAGGCAGTGTACATGAGGGGTTTGTGCTAGCCTAGCAATCTGCATGATGTCATACAGACTGCATGAGCTATCCTGACAGCTGCAGGAAGATTATCACATGACCTGTCAAGCTGCGCACATGAGCTGTACACATGACCTGACAAGCTGTGTAAGCTGTGCACCTGTAAGAAGATTATGATGTCATCTGTTTACCTGTGTCCTGTAGTGAAGTGTTTGTGTAATTTGTGTTGTGTAGTTGTCCTGTGTAGTTGATTGAGTGTAATTGAGTGTTGTACATGTTCAGAGGTGTGTAACATCCATACCAGTAGAGTTACAGAGATGCCTCCAGTGGTGACCATGGGTGAACTGATCTGTAAGATGCAGTTCTTGAGTTGTAATGAGTGGTAGATGAGTAGAAATATAAGGAAAAAATGATAAAGAAAAGAATAAAAGAAGAAGTAATAGAAAAATTTGAATTTTTACACATTCAGCTACCACATCCTCCCCCAACTTATTGTCTGTCCCCAGACAATTCCACCAAAAAAAGTGGCTGAATGGGTATATTGAGGAGTTGTGCTGTATTTATGTATAATCAGACTTTTTGTCTGTTGTGGGCATTTCTTGGATAAATTTGCCTCTTTTCATAAAGGGTTTTAATTTTATGTCTGTTTTGGGCATTCTTGACCTTTCCAAAAATTGGGTCAAACTGCCTTTTTTTTTTTTTTTTTTTTTTTTTTTTCAAAGCTTGACTGAGTCCAAGTCGCGCTCGAGTTTGATTTGGGGGTTTTAGGGGTCCCTTTACCCGTCCTGAAGCCCGTGCGTCGAGTGCGCTCGCGCTCTAAGCCATGTGCGCCGTTCCGGTCTGGAACTGAGTGCGCTGTCCTTGAGGATATGTAGCCAGACACCAAGCATCAACCACTCCCCCCAGGTCCACCATTTTGATATTTCCAGCGACGTCGAACCCGATACTTCCTCGAATTCGAATCAATCAATCGGATCCGCCGCCCGTTTGAATAGGATCGACCACCCGGTTTGAATAGGATTGACCATTGCAAATATTGACCAAAGTGAGTTGTTTTCTTTCCTTCCTTTCGTGATCCAGATAGAAGCCTGTACTGATGGCTTTTCCCCAATCAATACCACCTCCAGCCAGAATGCGTGGCCCAAGATTTCACCTGATTGCTAGATGCTGTCGTCGATGCCGAAACCGAGCCCAAAGCCGATACCAACTCCGATTCCTCTGCCCGATGGAATCGGATCGCCACCGCCGTTGAATAGGATTGACCAGCGACCGGTTCCTTTGGTCGAAGTGAATAAGATCGACCGTTCCGAGTTTTTTGGACTAGGTGCGTGATTTCTTTTCTCTTTTTCGAGATATAGTAGAATACCATACGAGTACTGATAGCTTGTGCCTTCTACCACTACGCTGAACAGGAAGAATGATTAGCCCGTGATGTCAGCTCCAAGCTGAATACTGTCGTCGATCCCAAAACCGCAAGCGAGGCCGAATCCGATGTTGATTCCCTAGCCAATACCGGTGTTGCTACCAGCGCCAAAGGCGATCTCAACCCTGATTCCTTGAAAATGCTCCAGCTCCTCCCTCGTATTCGAGTTCTTTCCTCAATAATAGCTTGTCCTGCTATCACTACTACTACCGACCAGGACGCTCGATCTGAACTGTAAACAGATTTCAATTGCTGATGCCGAAAACGTAACCGAAGCCGACGCTTGTTTTAAATAGGATTGTCCACCAAGAAGCTTGAACAAGGTGAGTTCTTTTCTTTTCTATTTGTGATCCGAAATAAATCTTGAGATTGTCCAAATGAAAAGTGATAGTTGGCCGAGGTGTTTAGTGAGTGTTTTCTGTTGTCTTTGAAGGAAGAAAAAAAATAAAAAAATAAAAACAATTTTGAATTTTTTTTTTTTTGAATACTATCCAATGTCAATGCAAGCCCCCCTCTCCCAACTTAGAAGGTTGTCCTCAACCTTCAAGAAATTGAGTCCAGTGAGTTAAGTGAGTGAGGTGAGAAAGGGAAGGAAAATCAAATGAGAAAAAAAGAAAGTAAAGAATGTGGAAATTTAAAAGAGTGTCTGAGATAAGAATTGGAAGACTACCAATATTGGAGTGATGGGAATGAAATGAGAAAAGGAGATAAACAAGAGAGAAAAGAATGTATACATGTATATCAGAAGGACATGGAAAGCCAAATAAGAGGTATATGAAAGAGGATGGTGATAAAGAGTGAATTATAAAAAAATGTGAGTCCTCCCCCAACTTGGAAAATTTTCATATCACTGATGTTAAAGAAATTAAACTAATATATTGTAATTTGGTTTTGTGCTTTGAACAGTTTAGTCTCATGCCTAGGAGGAGGTCTATTTTTATGAGTGTTTTTTTTATTTTATTTTATTTTATTTTATTTTTATATTATTTTATGGGTTTTGTGAGTGGTAAGAAAATTGTGAGTGAGAAAATGATAAGTGAAAGAAGAAAGGTTGAAGGAGTGACTGATACAATGAGCGAGTTGCTCCCCCAACTTTATTATGACTATGAAAGTTTGAAGAATTTGAAACTGATTATTTTTTTGTTTTGTTTTATGCTTTTATTTTTTTATTTTTAATTTTTTTATGATGTTTTTTTTTTTTCTAGGTATAGGAAGGAAAAAAGGGAAAAGAGAATTCTTGATAAATTTTAACCAACTCCAACAAGGATTCTTGGGCTGTTGAATGTGGTATACAGTTGTCCAAAGCGGTCCGGTGGAATCTTCAGGAGTAGTTGAAAAATTAGTTCTTTAAGTAATTTAAATATGAAAAGTAAAATCTTTGGTGCTATAAAGTGAGAGAGACTGATGATTGAATCTCCAACTAATGAATTGAGTTGAATTTCTTTTTCCAGTATAGTTTTGATTGGTGTTGAATGATTTGGAATAGGTGGGTTGATTGTTTCAAGAACTACAGGAGCTGAAGTCACAGAAATACTATTACCCTTTTCCTCAGGTTCTGTAGTCTTGTGTTCCAGATGTTGAGGAATTTTGTTGAAAACTTCAAATAATCTGTATGCGTCCAAGTAAGGTTTAAAAAGTTGTTTGTTGAAGAGCTTTGGTTGGTGTGCGTTGATATTTTGAATCCAAAGTAATTTTGAGGCTTTAGGAAATTCCAGATCTTCTTCTAGATTTTCTGTAAGGAGGAATTTCACATAATTTTTGTTGAGCTGGGTGGACTGATCCAATTCCTTGACTTGTTGAACAGATTGATCCAATATTTCTTCATGATCCATGTAATTTTCCGTATCCAGTCCATCTAGCACCGTTTCTGGTATCACAATCACTGTATGTGCAAGTTCCATGGGTGTGTCCATAGTTGCTGATGCGCTTTCATCTGCACAGATCTGGTTGGTTGATTGTTGTAGATGCTGTTTCAATTATTGGTTCCGTATAATCTGTTGTAGGTTCCGCGTAATCCGTCATTGGTTCCATATAATTGATTGTTGGTTCCGTGTAATCCATCATTGGTTCCGTATAATTGATTGTTGGTTCCGTATAATTGATTGTTGGTTCCATTGGGACAAACAGCTGTGGAGCTTTGCATTCAACAGGCAATTGTACCTCCAGAAGTTGTTGTTTGACTGAATCAAGCTGTTTGGCCAAGTCTGATATTGATGGTGTGACTTCTGGTGAGTGGTTGACCGGAGTTTCCAAGGTACGTAAATAGTTGCAATAGTCTTCTTCCAATATGATCTCCCTTTCAGCCGCCTCAGTTACATGTTTAAAAAGTGGAGGTGATCGGGAACCATCAGGAGCTTGTGGAAGTTGACCATTGTTGATTAAAGTCTGTTTGATATTTTGCTTAAGCTGTTGAGGAAATGCACTGATGAAAAGGAGTGAGAAATCCTCCCTACTATCAAAATTAGAGATCGTTCGTTCGTACTCGGGTACCTGTTGGTACCTAGGTACCTGTTGATTTTTTTCAGAAAATAGGTACCAAGTACCGCACCAGGCACCTCCCGGCGGGTACCGGCGGTACTTTTGGCAGGTACCGCGGGTACCTCCCCTCTCTTCCTCACTTAGTTTGACTGCAAGGTTCATTACAATCCTTTTGCATCTTGTTTGAGTTTTTTTGGGGGGGATTTATTGTGACTATCATTTTATTTTAAAAACATAAAAAATATAAAGTCAAAAACAATTGAAAAGAATTTTAAAAAAAACTGTTTGTAATTGCTGAAAAAAAAAAGAAAGAAAAGAAAAGAAAAGAAAAGAGAAAAGAGAAAAAAAAGGAAAAAGAAAAGAGAACAAAAAATAAAAGAACAGAAAAAAAGACGCACTAAAAAAATAAAAAGAAAAAAGAAAAAAAAGTAAGAAAAAAA